TACCTACTTGGAAGTATGGATTATAGAATGTATGCTAATTGGTGAATTATAAATAGTGTTCTGTACGTACTTCGTTTTCTCTTTTCAGAACAACCAAATTTTAATGTCTGTGTAAACGCCAATAACGTTTGTTGCGATTTTTTTTGCCCCTTGAAGTACAAAGAACTTTAGCATTTTAGTGTTATAATCACTGTCGATGAATACGGAATCAGAAAACCATGAAACTATGGAACTTGTTGACATTGGAGCAAATTTAACCCATCCAAGTTTTGACAGCGATCTTGAGCAGGTTATTGCTCGTTCTAAAAAGGCTGGTAAATAGGCTTGAATTTGTGTATAAGAATTTGTACCCTACGTTATATTTTCGTAATTTCTTGTTGCTTGATTCCATGCGTTGAACAACATTTAACATAAACAAGTTTTCCGTAATACAGGTTTGGTGAAGTTGCTGATAACCGGCACATCCGAAAAAGTTAGTCAGGAAGCCTGCCAAATCGCTCATAAGGATCCGGATTTTTTGTACTTCACCGCTGGTACCGTTAGTCCGTTGACCTTCCTTACCAGTACAGCCTCTTTTCTGCATAATATCTAGCCGTTGTTTAGGTGTTCATCCTCATGACGCCAAAGACTGTACTGACCGCACTTTTGTTGAGTTAGAAAAACTCTATTCAGATCGACAGTGTGTTGCTATTGGTGAATGCGGCCTTGATTTCAACCGTAATTTTTCTCCTCCAGACGTCCAAAAACTCATTTTTGAAAAACAGGTTATTAGTTTCAGAAATCACTGACTTTGTGGTCCTTGTTCTTGAAGCTTTTTGTAATCTCACTGGTTCTTTATTTTTCAAACTTATAGCTACAATCTGTTTTCTCCTTTTTAGCTTTATTTATTACTTTTTTTATCATCTCCGCATTATCATTAGTATCTTCTCGTTCGTTATCAGGTCGAACTGGCAGAGAAGCATAATAAGCCGCTGTTCATCCACGAAAGAGACGCTCACGACGATATGATTACCATCTTGTCAAGGTTACTCATCCTTTATTTTAATTTCTTCTTCTTGGTTTAGTCTTTGTTGCTGTAACTGAATATGTACAAATCACTCAGTAAGAAGACATGTCGAGGTCAAAAACCTTTGGTATGACATATATTCAACCATTCTTTCTAATCTTCTTGCTAGTTGCTATTCTTAACTACATTCTACAAATAGGTTTGTCGTTAAGGCATAAAGAAGTTTTGCCTCGATCAGTTATACACTGTTTTACGGGAACTTCTATCCAAGCTGAAAAGTATATTTCGATGGGATGTTTTCTAGGGCTCACTGGTGAGTATTTTTTGGATATTTTTTATTCAATTCTAAAATTTTTGCCGGTGATGTAGATCGAGTATAAAGAAGTCATAAAAATATAAAACTCTGCTTGACGCAGGAGCATAGGAACTGGCCTTGCAAAGGTCATTTCTGTTTTCTGCCATGTCGGCAATCTATCAATAATGTCACTTAGTCGTGACGAGTTGCACATGCCGTTGTTGAAATAGCAATATGACTGTCTTAACTTTGATGGCGGATTCTTCGTTAAGTCATGCTTTTCAACCGTTCTGACAGATATCTTAACTGCGCCGTCTGCTTCATTATAGATAAATTCTGAAGAAGATGCAGAATAAGCTAAAAATCAGTTGTCCTTGACGAATTTACTGGGAAGAGTTACGAATTAGCGATAATCCTCTGATATTATTCGAAAGCGATTGTTTTGTTTGATTAGAATTCAACAGTTAGCAGCAGTAGATTGTTTCACCAAAGTTTATTTAATTGTTCTATAGCTGGAAAAGCACAGCATTCCGATTGCCAGGTTTATATAATGAAGATCCTACATACTCCAGCTCTTAGAGTATATAGCATCCTTGTTAGAATTCCTTTGTCATTAAAATTCTACCTTGCATTTGGTTTAGGCCACTCCAGTCACTTCAACTGACAGTTACTGATGTTTTAGTGTATTCCATAAAGACTAACAGAGAAAAATATTTGGACCTGCCGCTCTGGAAATAAGACAAATGTTTTCAGTCCATGTGACTATAAGAAAGTAAATTAATCTGTAAGGAGTAATAACGCATAGTTAAGGGGCAATATATTGATAATATTGTAGCTGTTACACTACCGATTATTTAAAGCTCTGAGTTTTAGACGTAATATGTAATCTAAACTAAATTAAATATTCCACTTATTTCCATTATTCGTTTGTGCTTAGGATTTTTCTGGAAGGACAAGTCCGAAGATGGAGTAAAGTACGCTCTCAGAGAACACAAAATACCGTTGGAGAAGCTGATGTTGGAAACAGACGCTCCGTTTAACTATGCTAAAGTCTATGACAAGAAAATTCCGGCATCTATTCGAGACCGGATCAGTAAAAAAGCTCTAGAAATACACAAGTTTAGTTCCTTCAAACGTAATGAGCCGTCATCTATACTCGCCACATGCGAATTGGTTGCAGCATATATGGATATTGATCCGAAAACTGTGGCTGTCAAAACTACTGCAAATGCTTTAAGATTCTTCAGAATACATTAATTTTGGGTTATTAACTCACACTTAAGAACTCTTGGTACGTTGGACGAGGAATGATGATTTTTTTGTTGGTTCATATTCCTTGGCATTTTGGAGGACGGCTTTTTCTTCAAATACTTTTGAGGTAATTTTAGTAGTGGTGATATTACCTTTTATTCCCTTTTGTTTCTCCTACTTTTCTGCTGATGATTATTAAATAATAAAGTCATTTTTTGCTGTATAAGGGTTTAAATGCGACAGTTAGGGTACTACTTCACTGTTGGATTTAATTTAACTGGATTTCGGGGTAACTCTTGCTTTTAAAACAGTATACCTCGCACAACCAGTTAGACAGCACCAAAAGCCTTGATTCCCATTATCTTTGATAGTAGGTGCTCAGAACCTACAATGAGGTGACGGTGAAAATGACATTTAGTACAATTGTCTCGCTGGTTGAAGATTCATGATAAGCAGAAAGAAGTAAAGAAAAGTTAATCTATACATACTAAAAATAAATTTCTCTATAGAATCATATCTGTGGTAGCAGCGCAGTCTAAACCTATTGCGGTTCAAAGTTTCAAATATCAGACAGTGACAGTGGTTTTGCGCTGCAATGTATCAATTTGAAAATTAGAAGTGTTGCCTGCGGATGGGGAGCATGTCCAATAGTGCAAATAGCCCACTATGTATACACACATCTGTACTCACTTGTCAGTTATGAGGTTTTGGAAAGCGGGTTTTTTTTTCCGCCATCATAACCATTAATTCCAGTTTATGCTAATCGTGTTCGCTGCATCTGACGGACGTGTTAATCGAAAGCCAGAAAAAGTGATTCGAGGTGGTTGTCTTGAAAATGAAAATTTTTTTTTTTCGTTTTTATTTAGAGTAGTTGTAATTAAACAAAAAATGGTAGGTGTTTTTTTTTTTCTAACTTAGATTCATTGGTTAAATTTTGTAAGATAGCTTATTAATTTTATCATAAGAACTGTATTATATTGGTAAAATTGATCTCTCCTAAATTTGTGGATAAACTCGTTTTTATTTTGTTAACCACAAAAATCATAAAAAGCTCTAACAGAAATCGGTGTTAGAAACGTACATTGTTTGTGTGCAGTAGTTTTTTTCTTATAGTTTCGCGCGAATCTTGGCAGCATTGATGTTACTTTTTTTTGCTTTGTTTTGCTTCGGCTTTTTTTCTTCAATATCAAAATCATCAGCACATTTTTGAGCTAAGCAAATATTGTGTTTGTTAATTTTATTCATATGGCCTTTAGTTTTTTTTTTTTTAGTGAAAGGTAATAACCAATCAAGTGATCAGTTATTAATAGGCTTTTTGAGTTATTAATATTTATTAAGATTTATTTGCCAAATTTTTACATTCTTTTTACAGCAGTAGGTGCACGGTTTCAAGCATAGAAATTGTGCAGAAAAAAAAAACCGATATCGGCATTTGCGTCAAGGAGTAGAGAAGTGGAAAATTTTTATCTGGGTGTATGATACATTTTGAACGCTAATGGACACTGATATTTCGTGTTAAATTTGCGGTTGGTTTTTTAATTGTATTAAAATGCTGTTACTTTTTTAATTTGTACTTTGATAATAACATTGCACATTGTACCGCTTCTATGATGTTAGTTACGTTTCTTTCGGTTATATATGTATTCTTTACAGGATTAATTGCAGGGTTTGAATTTAGGCTCAAGAAAGGCGAATGGAGTTTGCAAGGATGTCTGAGAAGGAAGGGGGACTTAAGAGCATTGTTGATGTTATGGTTGCAGGTTACTTGGCACGGTGTAATGTATGTTATTTGGATTATTTTGCATTTTTAGTGTTAGCATGCCTAAATAATGAACTGCTCTTACCTTTAGATTTTTTGTAATAAAATTTTTTTCAGTAGGCTTTTTACTCTTTTTAACCTTATAGAATTTAAATTTCTAATCACAGTTTTTTCTTTTTCTTTTTTTGTGTTTAGCATCTAATTTTCTTAAAATCATTTCTCAAGTAAGCGATGTACTTTCGCTTTGCTTGTTGAAAGTCATTACTGAGTCGTAGTAAGAGGATTTTACATCTTTGAATGAGGCCTTTTATGAACACGAGCAATTTTGAGTCTCTTACCATTTGGTTCTTATTATTAGATATTGCTATATTCCAAGACTTAATTGAAACCCATGTAAACGGTTACCATCTGTGAAGTTTTTCCGGTTTGATTAGCTAATCATCTTAGCTTTTTGAATTTTTACCATATTTCTCCTTTTAAACACCTCGATTTTTTTTAGTATGTTTGCTCATACAAGTGTTTGACAGAAGAGTCTCCTAATTTACGATCCCAAGTACAGTTTGCAAATGGAAAAGTGATGTTTGATGATTTATTGCATGGGAAGCGTCTTGACGAAATTATAATTGTATGACTTGGCTATTTTTTAAATATTGTTTTTGTGTTTGCTGTAGTTCTGTATCGCTTGGATGAGAATTACCAGTTTGATGTCTGTGAACAAGAGAGTGAAATTTTTTTGGAAAAACGTTTTGGTGTTCTAGTCTTTGTAGCCCTACATTCTTCAGTGCGGAAGAAAAGCAGTATTTAGTTCTCTTGGTACTAAGTTTTTATCTTTTTTCAGAAATTTAAGGGCTTGATAAGTTGTTGACTTGTATGTTGAATTTAATAATCGGAGGTATTGTTTTTTTTTTTTAATGTTTATAATCTCGTTAATACCTAACAGATGTTTAATGAATGTGGTGGTGTGCTAGTCCCTCCTGCTTTTCTCGATTTTGGTTCGAAATTGCGTGATTTGGCAAATGAGTATACGGCTTTGACTAATCCTGATGTTCATTTTTCAAGCGTTCAGAAATCCTTGTATGGAAAGCGTGTCCCACCATCAAGGTTTGCTGATCTTTGTGTTGAGTTATCTGTATTTCTATTGGATTTGCTATAGTTTAATTGGATAAAATAAATAGGGCAGTCTTTTAACGTTCTTCTGTTTACGAGTTTTTTGTCGGATTGAAGTTTTTTCAGGTTTTATTTAAATACTTATATTTTAGGTTTATCCTCTCTTATCTTTGCATTTTTATTAGTTTTATAAATTTTTTCTAGTCAAAGTCGAGCTGTCATCAAAGAGAATCAGTTGAAGGACGCCGTTAACTTTTCCTCGCTAGGACTTCCAGCGGAACAAGAATGTCCCTGTGACGAACACAATGTTCCCAGCCCGTCGTCTTCAGCGCGAAGGTTTTTGTTTGTTTTGGTACGAAAGGAAATTTTTGTTTCTATTCATCGTTTGATAAATTTTTTTAAAATCTATATTTTAGAAAGTCCACACAACCGGTGAGTACGAAAAATAGGCTGGTTGAGAATGTAATGCATGCCGCTCAACATGCCATTGTCGGCCGAAGCATTGCTGAATCCTCTCCTTCAACGGTTAATTTTAATTAACATCTTCTTTAGCTAATTTTCCATTTTTTGGATGATCTTTGTTTTGCAGCTTACAACTAGTGAATTCTCTTGCTTTTCATAAGTCTTCTACTTCTCTATTTCAAACAGTAATGATCGATAATGAAAATTTCTTTCCTGATGAAATCTCTTTTTTTTGTAGGGTTAGTAAATAAGCTGCGTTTTTTATTATCTTATTCGTCATTTGTTAATACTTATTCTTAAATTATTTTTCACTATTCTAATATGCTTGATAAATATCTCATTGTACTTCTTACTATTGTTACTCTGCTTTATATGTTCTTGTAATATATCACATGGACTTTCTATGATTAAACCAGGACGCGAATACTATATCTGTTGGTGAAGGTGTTATCGACAACTTAGATGGATCTTTCTTATCGTATTTCCCAGAAATGGTGGCTAGTGAATTTGATATGCTTGACTTGGGTGAACCGTCCACTTCACATCTTGAGGAATCTGGTGAAGCTTTTGTACAAAGTGAGAAGTCATTATTACATGGAACTGCCTTCCAGGTGAGTTGTAGTTTTCTGTTTTGTTTCTTAATTAAAGATTTCAAATTAAACCTTGCAAATAAGATGGATGGAGAGCTGTACTAATTTTGTACTTTCTATTAATTTTTTATTTCTGTGACAGATACTTAGTGTACGTTATAGCCTTTTTGTTTTCAAGGTTGGAGATGAACGTGGTTCTCCAATGAATCTTGCAAATATTCCTCAGCACAGTGATCTTAAAGAAAATTTGGTCTGCGATATTTCAAAGACTGAGGTCGACTCTACAAAACTTCCAGCTTCCAGCTCATCTACATCTTCGCCTGTAAGCAAGGTTATCACGACAAGTGTGTTTCCAAAGGTAAATTTGCCCATTTTACAGTGTTTATATAAGTCACTGTTCTATTGTCAAGGGTTTCTTTGGTTTGTATTTGAATTCTTCACTAGACGTATAATATTTGGTTGTCCCACCCTAATTCTTAAGATTTATTTTTAATTATTACTATTTAATTTTGTTCTTTTTCTCTAGGATGGTGAAGAAGAAAGTATAAAACATGTGGAATTTTTGAAAAAAAGAAAGAAACAGGATCCATTTGCTAAGAGAAAAAAAAAGGTATGGGTTCTTGCTCCATCGCTTTCTTATTTCTTTACGCTCTTTTCATTTGTTGCCTACTTTGATGAAAATTTATTATCAATATTATTACTAGTTGTATTACATAATTTTGCACTAAATTTTTCCACCGATTAGTGGTAAGTTATGCCAAAAATTCTGACTGTTTTCTCATTTTTTCAATAAGATTCTGTTTTTCAAGAAATTAAGCGTGTACTTACGGTACTTTTTTTTTGATCTAGGTAGCTTTTGGGACAACCAAACCAAATGAAAACACTGATGGTGATTCGGCCTCTGTGTCGTCTGGCTCAGGACTTGATTCTTCTCGGGAAGCGGAAAAGCGTAATGATTTGCAGAAATTATCTTTAGAAGATTTATTCGATAACACAGATGAAGTTCAGGAACAGGACGTTCATGATACTTTCAATACTAGGCAGCAAAAAACTGACTTATGTGGAAAAGGTAAAAAAGTTAATGGCGCCGTTGGAAGTGGAGGGGGTGTTGCGGCTAATGAAGATAAAGAAGTCGCTGCAACGAGAAACTTGGTAGATTTAGGAGACACTCCTGCAACTTCTTCGTGTGAGGAGATGGGTGATCATGAAATGAATAAGGAAAAACAGAAAGTTGAAGAGAATTCACGAAGGGCGGAAGGATGGGTCAAATTAACAGCTGGAAAACGAGAGAATTATGAGGGAAAAAATGAAGCAGATGAAACCAAACGGGTTTTTGGGGATCAGAACAGTGGCAAAACCAGAAAAATTGTTATGGAAAGTAAAAAATGTGAAGAAGTTAACAAAAAGCCGTCAGATGGGAAGCGCATGGCACTGTCTTTGCCGAAGGGGGCGAACGTTGTAAAGGACGAGGAAGTTAAAAAGACTTCAACCACTGAGAAGGTTCTAGAAGGCGTGCCGCCTTTTCCGCGTCAATCAGACGGTAGCAATAACTTGAGCATGGAAAAGTCGAAAAGTGTTGACTTTGCTGCTAATGCAGAGGAGCAGACAGGAGTTGTATTTCCCGAGAAAACTAATTTAGGCGGCACGGAAACTGCTTTTGGAACTCTAGAAGAAGGGGAGCTGCTGCCTTCTCCTAAAAAGATTATTAATCGGTGTGGAGATACGGCAGGAGATGAAAAACAATTGGAGCACAAAGATAAGGCGAATAATAAAAATGTTGTTGAAAGAAGTCCTTCGAATTTTGAAACTGGTTCCAAAGAAAGAAAAAAAAAAGATAAGGAATTGAAATTGCGCAAAGAAAGAGAAGAAATAGAGCGGCTCAGGAAAAAACAATTGGAAGATGAAGGTAGGAGAGCAGCATATCGAGAACAAAAGCGAAAGAAGGAACTGGAGAAGGAAGCAAGAGAGAAGGAGGAAAGAGAGAAGCGAAGGAAGGAAAGGCTTGGAAGGCTTGAAGATAAGCGGAAGTTAGAACGGGAAAGTGATAAGCGTGTGGAGAAAGAATGTCACGCATCTGAAAGCTGTTTAAAGAATAAACAGGACTTTAGCGAAGTACGCGGTGGGAACCGTGAAAAGGTTTCTAAAGCTGGTTCTAAATTTGATAGTTTACTGGAAGAATCGCTCTTTGGCGGTGAAAAAGTTAGCCGTAAACAACGAGAAGGGAAAGGCAAAGATGTGTTTGAGGGTCGGCTGCATCACAAGTAAGGTTTTCTACTTTTAAAAGTTTATTTTTGTGAATTTTTGTAGGGGTTTGTAATATGGTTATTTGATATTTAGACTTTTCAAATATATTTGTTGCGAATTACGACTTCCGTATTGCAACTTAGGATGTTTTTTTTTT